GGAGAAGAGCAGAGAGCGGGACCCTACCCAGAGAAGCAGTGATGCCTGAGATGGAGGCAAAGACGATGACGTGGAGAGATGGAGCAGCTGGGAACTTTAGATCCAGAGAGGGAGAGGGGCTGTGTGTTGATGACCAGGGGCCGGGGGGCCGGGGGGACAGGGGCAGGCTTGTAGGATATACCCTTTGGTTGATTGATGATGCATGGAGGGATTGTAACCATGGTAATGAAACTATATTCTCCCATGTAAACTATCACATAATTCACAATAAAACATTAAAAAAAAAAAAAAAGAATCCTTATCAAAAGGAAGAAAATGCAGAACAGAATTTCAAATTCTCATGGACCCCAGACTTCCTGGAGCCATGCAGGTTGAATGAACTCCTGAAACTGTTCTGAGATCATCTGGAAACCTTAAATCAAAACGATCCACTGCAGACTTCTTAAAGCCACGCAGTAAATGAGCTTAACTCGTAACAAATGTCTGCCTTGAACATCATGCTCTTTTAAAGATGTTTTAATGTGAATCGGGTGAAAGCTCACAGAGCAGATTCATACATGCTGTTGATCACGATTCTTCACAATGTAATATCCCTCATCCCTCGTCCTCTTTGTGTTTCCGGTTTCCAGTCCTCCTTTTTCCCTAACCATTCTGTGTTCTGTCCTTGTGCAAATGCTGTGCTTTTGACTGACGATTGGATGGTGTTATTGTCCCCTTATAGGCCTATCTGTTGTTCAGATGAAAGCTAAGCCACAGAGGTGAGTTCATTTCCAGACCTGGAGGGTGTCTAAGGGCCATAATCTTGGGGTTCCACTAGTCTCTATTAGACCAGTAAGCCTGTTTTTTTTCTATGATTTTGAATTTTTTTGGTTTTTAAAAATGTTTTATTGTGAATTATGTGATAGTTTACACGGGAGAACATTAGTTTTACATTCATCCTATCGTATATCATTTCATTGCCATGGTTACAACCCCCTCCATACATCATCAACCAACCAAACGGTATACCCTGAAAGCCTGCCCGCCCCGGTTGTCAGCACACAACCCCTTTCCCTCTCTGGATCCAAAGTCTCCAGCTGCTCCATCTCTCCACGTCATCATCTCTGCCTCCATCTCAGGCATCACTGCTTCTCTGGGTAGGGTCCCGCTCTCTGCTCTT